GGGCAGGAGGCTGGACGCGGGGTCCCTTGGCCGTGCAGCCCTAGGTTCTTCCACCCGTCTCTGAAGGGGGCTCGCACTCAGGGTGACACCAGCACCGAAAAGAACCTCGCAGACCTTCCTGCAAGTGCCTTTAGCTCCGGATCCCGACTCCAGGCCTGCTGTGTTCCTGGTGGAATGCACAATGCAGGATACAAGCACAGCGCCCAGATTGGGTGGTTCATGATGCATTTTTCATGCCTATGAATTTTGTAGGGCCCTACTTACAAAAAAGCCAACAATTTCACCTGCTTACCTGTATACTGAGCCCAATAACCTGTGTTTAGCTAATGTACACTTTCCAGACAGGCCTCCAGGATTTTGGTTTGAATATAGTAAGATGGAGAATCCTCAACTTCTCCTGGGAGTCTTCTGTTCAAGTGGTTAATCACCGTTTTTAAATCTTTTATTTCTAATATGACTCTCTGTCCTTCATAGGGATGTTAGATATTGGTTAATTTAACTATCATGTAATTGCCCCGAAACTGAGTGATTACATGATTATTTGATAGCCGCTGGGGGTGAGGCTGGCAGCCAGTGTGTTCTGACCCCACTCCCAGGGAGCCACCCCATGTTGCTGCTCCGGGCTCACTGCGGACAGAGGCTTCTCCCCCCCGCACCACTACCTTTCTCTCCACACACCTAATTTCAGATACTCCATCCTTCATAAGCAGGTTGTAACCAGTGACTCTCAACATTCTAGTCATGTGAATTGATCCACAGGGTCTCAGTAACTCCAGCTATAGCAAGGTCTGGTCTACATTGAAAATTTAGATTGGCATAGCTGTGTGGTTTAGGGGACTCCTGAGCACCATAACTAAGCCAACTAACAGAGTAAATATAGTTAGATTACTGGAAGAACACTGCCTGGGCAGCTGGAATAGTGATAGAAATGTAGCTGTGTTAGTCTGGGGTAGCTGAAGCAAAATGCAGGACAATGTAGCACTTTAAAGACTAACAAGATGGTTTATTAGATGATGAGCTTTCGTGGGCCAGACCCACTTCCTCAGATCAAATAGTGGAAGAAAATAGTCACAACCATATATACCAAAGGATACAATTAAAAAAAAGAACAAATATGAAAAGGACAAATCACATTGCAGAACAGAAGGGGGATGCGGGGGGGTGGGAAGGGGGAGGAAGGAAGGTAAGTGTCTGTGAATTGATGATATTAGAGGTAGGGAGAGTGGGATGTTTGTGAGTTAATGGTATTACAGGTGATAATTGGGGAAACTGTCTTGATAATGGGTGAGAAAGTTCAAAGACTTGTTAAGTCCCTGGTGGTAAGTGTCGAATTTTAACATGAATGACAGTTCAGAGGATTCCCTTTCAAGTGCAGATGTAAAAGGTCTTTGTAGCAGAATGCAGGTGGCTAAGTCATTTAGAGAGTGTCCTTTCTGGTTAAAGTGGCAAGAAACTGTTTTCTCTTTGTGATCTTGTCTGATATCTGTTTTGTGGGCATTAATCCTTTGGCGAAGTGTCTGAGATGTTTGTCCAATGTACATAGCAGACGGACACTTTCGGCACATGATAGCATAGATTATATTTCTGGATGCGCAGGAATATGTGTTCTTGATCTTATAACTCACTTGGTTAGGTCCAATAATGGTATCAGCAGAATGAATATGTGGACAAAGCTGGCAACGGGGTTTGTTGCAAGGGAAGGTACCAGGGTTGGTATTAGTGTGGTATGTCCTGTGGTGGTTGGTAAGAATCATCTTGAGGTTAGGTGGTTGTCTATAGGAGACTATGGGTCTGTCTCCCAGAGCCTCTTTGAGTATGGTATCCTGTTCCAATATAGGCTGTAGTTTATTGATAATGTGTTGGACAGGTTTAAGTTGGGGGTTGTAGGTGATGACAAGTGGTGTTCTATTGTTGGTTTTCTTGGGTCTGTCTTGAAGTAGATGGTTTCTAGGTATTCGTCTGGCTCTTTCAATTTGCTTTTTTATTTCTCCGGGTGGGTAGTTGAGGTTTATAAATGCTTGGTAGAGATCCTGAAGCTTCTGGTCTCTGTCAGTGGGGTTAGAGCAGATGCGGTTGTATCGAAGGGCTTGGCTATAGACGATGGATCGTGTGGTGTGTTCTGGATGGGAGCTGGATGCATGTAGGTAACTGTATGAGTCGGTGGGTTTTCTGTAGAGAGTGGTGTCTAATTTTCCATTGTTGATTTGTACGGTGGTGTCCAGGAAGTGGATCTCTCGTGTAGAATGGTCCAGGCTGAGGTTGATGGTGGGGTGTAGGTTGTTGAAATCTCTGTGGAATATCTCCAGTGTTTCTTGGCCATGCGTCCTGATCATAAAGATGTCATCGATGTACCATAGGTAGAGAAGGGGTGAAAGGGGACGGGAGTTGAGGGAAACGTTGTTCTAGCTCACAAACATCCCACTCTCCCCACCTCTAATATCGTCAATTCATAGACACTTACCTTCCTTCCTTCCTTCCCCCCCCCCCGCATCCCCCTCCTGTTCTGCAATGTGATTTGTCCTTTTCATATGTGTTCATTTTTTTAATTGTATCCTTTGGTATATATGGTTGTGACTATTTTCTTCCACTACTTGATCAGAGGAAGTGGGTCTGGCCCACAAAAGCTCATCATCTAATAAACCATCTTGTTAGTCTTTAAAGTGCTACATTGTCCTGCATTTTGCTTGGGCAGCTGGAGATCCTGCAGTGATGGGGAAAACCCTTCTTGTCATAGTGGGAAGTACAGGCATTATTACATTGCAGTGCCATGGTTGTCTGCTCTAGTGCCCATTGTCATTTCCAATTCCTCTCATTACCCAAATGCCTTGCACATTTCTTCACTCTTTGCCCCAGCCATGTTCAGCCTGAGTTTGAACCATGCATGCCCTCTTGGCAGACACCCTTTGTGGTGATCTGTAATGCCTGGCACCTCTAGAGTCACACTCTGTCTGTTTTGCAGCTGGCTCATAGCCATTTTGGCTCAGGCAAACCCCCTCTTTGGGCCCCAGCTGAAGAATGAGACCATCTGGTATGTGCGCTTCCTGTGGGAGTGACCTGGGACCAGCCCAGAAGATTCCAGGAAGGAGATGAGATCAACACCCATATATCATGGTGAATGGCGCTTCCCATGGGACAGGCCACCTGGACTTAAGGAGTGGATGGGGGGGGGGTTTGTGGTATAAGGCCCTCCCCAGACTTGCTGCTTTGGCCCAGTTATAGATGGGGGCAAGGCTTACTTCATATTTGGCTCCACCCCAAAGCCTGGGGAGGGGGGAGCACCACATAATCTACTAGAGCCACCCCCGGAATCCAAGGGTGAAGCTCTGAGCCTTGGTATGTGTTCCCTCCCTTGCGAGGCTGGAGAGTGAGGGGAACCCTGGTGCCCAAAATTGAATGAGTGGGGTGAGGTTATGGCTTTTCTCCTGCTTACCAGTCAAGGGCCACATTTGTGAGGCTTTTTTGCTTCTCACTTGCCTGTGACCCTGACTGATTTTTTTTCCAGTGGGCCAATAGCTCCTGAGGGAAAGAAGGTTCCTCACCCCCTAGCTTACAAAAAGGCCTTGTGGAAGCCAGGGCACTTTACTCTGTGCAGCTTCCTAGGCAGTTTCTGGTTTGGGTTGGGCTTCCAGCAGAGGCTCTTTGGGAAGTGGCTTGCTGTTGCCTGTTAGTGCTCTGTACTGGAGCCAAACAGAGGGTCCCTGGATTCAGCCCAGGAGAGGGCCTCTTCTTGCCCGTGGCGAGTCCCTCCCTCTTTTGGGATGGCTGTTTAGGCCCCCTTCACAGGAAGGAGTTTGGACTAAACATCTCCCCATCTCTGTCTCTCAGCTCCTGCATTTCCTTCTGAAATCCAGATGTAGATCCACCCTCTGTACCCACCAGTGCTGTCCTGCCAGAGCTGGACCCCAGGTCAGACCAGCTGCAGCACCACCTCAGCCACTGCATCCAGGAACCAAAAGGCACAAGGGCCACTCATGTAGCCCTGAGGAGTCAGGTTTTCCTTCAGAGTTGAGCTTCCTCTTGAGCCAGGTGCTGCAGATGGAACCCCACCCCTCCTTAGCATGGGAGAGATTCCCAAGTGGCTAGCTGAGCTCTGTGGTTCCCAAGGAATTGGCTGGTGCAGAAGACTGTGCCTACCCCTACTCTTGGAGGGTAGGTACAGGGACCACAGCCCTCCTTTTGCCTCTGCTCTGTTCAGCCCTTAAAGCGAGAAATGGAGACAGAGTTCAGCCTCATGATGCCTGTTGCATGAATCCTGGTCCTGGCAGCCCGTTCTGTGGGCTGGTGCATGTGAGGACCACATCCTCTGCAGCCGGAGCCCCTTGGGAGATCCCTGGGCTCCGGAGCAGCATCCCTGCTTTCAAGCCTGCTCCTGATTGGTGGCTATTGCTATTTCTGGGAGGGTGGGCCTGAGGAACAGTGTGTGGCTGATGGAAGAAGTCCTAGTGAGTGGTAGGTCAGGGTGGGACTCTGAGTCAGTCTGCAGGGGAAAAAAAACCCTCTTTCCCCTGCGATCCTAGTACCACAGGCACCTGGCTCTTCTCTGCTCAGAGGGTTCCTACTCCTGCCCCTTCTTGTGTGTGGGCTGGTTGTGGGGCAGGTGCCGATAATCTGGACCAGACCCTGGTCTCCCCCTCCTATTTCCCGTATTTATTAACCACAGTATTTATTTGTTGTTTGGTGTTTAAATGTGTTGTGAAAATAAAAGTTTTTCTAGTATGCAGCGTGGTGGTCTCCCTTGTGGTGAGCTCTAGGTGCAGCTTCCTTCCTCTCCCCTACCCTGCTGCAGGGGCGAGGGAAGGGGGCTGGACCCGTGTGCAGCAGTGGAACTGTTTCAGGGAGGATGAAGCATATGCTCTGCCCTTGTCCCTGCTTCCAGGTACCATGCAACAGTTTCCCCCTCAAGTCAAAGCCTTAGCTGGGGCCTGGCTCCACCCCATGAAAGACTGAGTGCACTGCCTTGCTCTAACAGCTGTTGCCTACTTTGATCTAGCACCACCAGTGCTTGGGTGGCCCCTGGAGCACTTCTCTGCTCCAGCTGTGCAGGCCCCTGCCTGAGCCATGCTGGCAATTAACCCTCTTATTCAAGGATACCCAGAGGCTAGGCTGTGCGCTGCTGACTTCTCACCCAGGGGATTGATGGAAACTGCAGTAATCATTCCAGCAGGTGTGGCCTGGATCAGAGCTACCCCACTGCTCTGAGCACCCAGGGTGAGTGTGCTGAGCCGTGCCCTGGATGAGAGAAACTTCCAGCTAGGGCTCTTCCCCACAAAGAGCATCTGTACATTCCCTTCCGCAGGGGGGTTAAGTCTGCAGCAGAGACTACAGGGGGTGCTGACCCTAACACAGATAAGCACAAACTGCTGGGGTGGCCTGTGGATTGTTTATTGCGCTAATCGGAACAGCTGGGGTTCAAGTAATCTGGGTTCTGTGGAGGCAAGGCCTGGGGGAGGGGAGGCAGCCTGCAGGATGAATTCCATGGCTGAATCAGGGCATGGATTGCTGCCCTGTACAAGGAAAGAACTTTGGCCTGAAATGGGTAGGGATGGCCAGGGGCAGGCCGGTACCTGCCTCAAATCACACAAGCTAGCATGTCTTAGCAGCCCCTACAGACATCACATGTGATCCCTCTGAGGTAGCAAAGCACCCCTCTGGGGGGATGCAGCATTTGGTCTGTGCCCCTCCTTGTTGAACAGCTGGGCTGCAGGGAAGCCTTCAAGGGGCTAAACTCAGGCAGCTGCTGGAGGGGACAAGGGCTACACCCCCTCTGAAGGATTTAAAGGGAAGCTGAAGCCCAGGATGAGGGAGAAGGCTCATTCAGATGGCTTCTGCTAGAAGAAAACCAATTTGCAATGACCCAGTTTCCACTTCTGGGCCCTGCCGTCAGCCAAGGAACCCCCCATGGCTGAGACTGGGGACTTGTGCCCTATGGCCCAGGGGGAAGCCTGCTGCTTGGGGGTAGGACACAGCCACAGAAAGATTCATGGAGTCTCAGCTGTGCAGAGGGGGTTAGGAACTCTAGCCCTCCCGTAGCTGCCCCTTGTCAAGGGAGCAACGTGATGCTAGGACTATGGTCCCACTCCTGCCCCTTGGACAGAAAAAACAGCAATGGTGGAGGGGGGGCGGGGGCTGCTCTGTGCTTCAAGAGAAGGTAAACAGACTTAGGGATTAAGGCTCCTTGACTGGCAGACATGTCCCTTATGATCGACTTTTCAGAGGTAATAGCAGGTGTGCTTATTGGCCCCTCAACGGTCCAGTTGGCTGCTGAGTCCTACTGATGCTTAACCTCACTATCTTATTGCAGTGAGTTCCATAGGTTTGCAAGCTAGGCTTTCCCCTGATGTGCTACACCTTTCTATTCCCATGAGTAGAGAGCTAAATCTGCCTTGCTGGTACCACCTGTTACTGAGTACCCACCTCTCCTGCCCAGCAGGGAGTCTCCAGGCCTGTGTGTCAAACAAGGGCCTGACTGGTGTTGGGGCTCTAGGAGAGGAGATGGAACCTAGGCAGCAGCCCCATAGGCTGGCTTTGGCTGCTTGTCACCCAGCCTAGGTTCCAGTTCAGGTGCTGGTGTTCCAGAGCCAGGTTAGGGCCCCAGTTCCTGGCCTGGCAGCAGCACGGCCTCTTCCAGCCACCGTAGGTTATGGGGAGCTAAACACAGCTGGCGGCTATGAATGCGGCGCAGCCGCAATAGGTAGAGGATGATGGCCAGCAGCACCACCAGGATGCAGACAAAGAAGAGATAGTGGTTGTAGACGAAGGAGAGGCGGAGCCAGGGGCTGTGGGCTTGTCGGCTGCTCTCCTGCCGGAGATCCCTGGGCAGGAAGGATAGAAAAGAGAAGAGGTCAGGTGACAGCGTAGCACATGCACCTTGTCTTACTCCCTGCACTTACAGGGCCTCAGGATCACCCCCCAGAGCCAGCTTCCTGCAGTGCAGTGCTGGGACTGGAGTAGCCAGGCGCTCCAGCTGGTACAGTGGTACGTCAAGCTGGGATGGGTTTGCTGTGCTCTAAGAGTGACTGGAGGAGCAGGCTGTGGCCTGTGCTTTACCGATGATCCCAGTGGTTGCTTAGGGTCTTGGAATCTATAAATCCCCTGTATGGGCCAGGCAATGGAGGGCAGCCCGTGCTCCCTACTCAAATTTGCTTTACCTGAGTGGCAGAAAGCGGGTTTTATAGAGAATGGCTCCAAGGGTCCACTGCACCTCACGGTCGTCCACGAGCTGGGCCATGTGCAGGCTGGAGTAATCCAGGGGAAAGTGAAAGCCTTCATGAAGGACTTGGTACATCCAGGCAGATTTAAAGCACTGATACCTGCAGAGGGCACACGGGACAGGTAGTCAGATGCCAGGGCCCCAGCTGCTAGACACACTGCTCCTGCTGAGGGGAGGCTCCTTACTTGACCCGCTGCTGGTCTGCGTGTGGGGAGTACAGGCCCTCTTGGAACCGCTGAGTCAGCACTGACCAGCTCAGGCTGCAGTAATCCTGGGGCAGCAAGGGAGAGACAGCACTGTCAGTGGAGAGATTGGTGCCACCCCTGCTCCCCTCCAGCATAGCAAGCAGTCACAAATACTCCGGGGGAAGGGACCTCACGTCCAGCCCCTACATGGAAGCAGCCTCATGTCAAACCAGACCATCCCTGACGTGTTTGTCCAGCGATGGGGATTCCAAAGCCTGTTCCAGAGTTTAACTTCCCTAATCTCTAGCCACCTTTCCTGCCCATGCATGACTCCCTGTGCTACTGTCAGTGAGCATGGAAACCAATGGAGTCCCACTGGCTTGAACAGCCCGTACCAGATTGGTCAGCTACCCCTCAGTGCTCCTGGGACCAGTTACCCTTGACTCAGTCAGGCTGTAAGGTTCTAACCCTTCTGTCGCTCCTCTCTGGACCTTCTCCAGTTCATCTAGATGTTCCCACAAGTGCTCCAGCTGAGCCCTCCCCAGCATCAGGCACAAGAGAATTCTTTCCTTTGTCTCAGACCAGACTTGTCTTTATATACTGCAGAAGGAGACTAGCCTTTTCCACCTGCATCAGATTGACCCTCCTACAGTCTGGGGACCCCCCCCCCATTCTTCCCAGCAGCTAAGCACCTCTCCTGCTCCCACTGAAGTCAGGCCAGTTCTTTAACTTGTCAGTCATTTGGAGGACAGGATGAGAATTCAAAGGTGCTTGCAAGCCTCCCCCAGCTCAGCGTATCTGCAGATTCCATAAGCGCACTCGAACTGCATTAGCCGTGTCAGTAATGAAAACCATTGAACAGCACCAGACTAAGACACGCCCCAGAGGGGTACGCCCTCCCAGGTCTGTGCTCCTTTACTACATACCCATTGGCTTAGGAGAATGCATCAGAAGGAGACCATGTCTAGTGCTTCCCCCGCCATCTACTAGGCCAGCAGGAGCCTCGGGAGCGAGAGAAAGTTCAGGGCAGCCCAGGTGAAGCCAGGCACCAAAGAACATGCTCATCCCCCGGCAGAGTGGCCGGTGCACCCCAGCCTCTACCCCCAAAGCCCTGGGTCAGCGCAGTGCTCACCTGGGCAGTGCGGGCAAAGCTGGGTGCATGGTAGTGGCCCCCGAGACGCAGCACGTCCTCAGTACAGTAGAAGAACTCCGAGAAGCCATAGAACTCGCTGTTGTTGAAGTCAATGGGTGCCTGGTAAGTGCTGGTCAGGGAGGCCTGGCTGCCATTGACCCCTGCCAGCAGAGGCTGCAGCAGCTGTGCACAGGCCTGCCAGTCCCCTCGCCCTCGGATATGCAGGGTCTGGCCCCCTCTTTCTATTGTGTCCTTGAGCCCCACAGGCAAGCAGGGATCCAGAAAAGGGGTCTCAGTACTTGCCCCCATCTGCTGGCTGTGCAGCCTAGAACATGAGCCAGGAAAGAGCCTTGTTAATCGATCAGGCTCTGCAGTGACAGAGCTGTGCCCCTGCTACGGGGAAGAGTCCCTGCTGGGCACACATGCACTCACTGCCCCTGCGAAGGCCACATTCCCCCTGCTGGCCACACTGTAGCAAGCCCAGCCCACCATTACACGTGATAGGTGGGTGCATGCGCGACACCCAGCGAAGAGCACACAGCTGTGCCAAGGGACACTCCGCTGACGTGAGCTGAGGGAACTGAGGCACAATGCCTTAGCATGCACGAGGTACTGGGAAAGGCGCTGCTGTGTGCTAGGATCACCTGTGGTCAGTACAGCTGCACTAGCTGTTACCCCTTTGTCCACCTTCCTGAACCTGCTGCAGAATCTCACCTGGACTGAAACAAGCAAACACCCCTGCAGCCCACAAACCTCTGAGGAGGGCCATGGTGCTATGCCAGCCCATGGGGGAAGGGGGTCCAGAGACAGGCGGGATAGGCTGCAGGGAGGTGCCCACCATCGATCCCAGGACAGAATGGGCTGGAGGGGAGTTTTAACACCACAACTACACCCCTTCAGGGAGATCCAACACGACCGCATCCCATGAGAACAGATAGGCCCCCTGGCCAAGAACTGGGGAGTCCCCCAACCAAAGCCCTGGGCACATCCCTGCAACTGGGGTGAAGATGCCCTCCCTCAGGCCCTGGGCTGATCTCCATGGGAGAGCCTAGCCCCCAGACTCCCCTTGGCCCTGGGGAGGAGCTATCAAAGGAAAGACCAGGCTGCCTTGGTAGCATGAACCAACAGAACCCGCAGACACAAGAACGCCAGCTCCCACACACACGGGGATAACCCTGCCAGGGACATTTTAAAGGCCCCCCCTTACAGCAACATCCTTTAGGGCTTCTGCAGCGTGCGCTGAGATTAGACCTTCCACTTGTGGCCCCTAGAGCGCCAAGGGCTGGGATGTCTGAGGACCTTCCCCCAGCAGGCAGGTGCCTGGGGGGGCTGCTGAGCCCAGGGCAGCGTTACCTGTTGTGGGTACGTGTCTGGTTCAGCACAAGCTCCTCGTAGCGCTGCCGTGCAAAGTTCCCCCCAAAGCCCAGGAAGGTGCTGACATAGACACGGTACACGTGCTCCGTGTGCTGCACGTCACAGCCCAGGTTGAACTCAGCCAGCAGGCTCTTGGCAGCCTCCTCCTGAGGCAGAGAGAGGGGTGAGCAGCCGGGCCAAGCGTGGGAAGCACAAGGGCTGGTTTCCTGCCCGGGGGGCTCGATACGCACCTGCTGTGGGGAGGAGAAGGCCTCCACGCTGGGCACCTCGTAGGCGATTTGCAGAGAAGCACCACCCATGTCCAAGATCCCCACTGTCCGCTTCCGCACCAGGGACTCCGCCTGACTCCCCAGAGCCACTGTGACCATCGCTTCCTCCTCTGCAGCCCACAGCAAGACATTAGCAGATCCCTGGGACCATGTGCCCAGGTCAGCCTCCCTGCCCTCACTCCCCAGATCAGGGCCTTGGCAACCCTGCTGTATGGGGGACAAGGGCAGTGTCCAGATCTCACCTGGCTGCTGCCTAACGCAGGGAGCTCCACTGAGGCATAGAAGGCTGATGGCAACGAACAAGACCCCACCTTCCCTGCGTGCCTCTGCTCTTACAGCTCCCAATACATAGCTCCATCTCATCTACCCTGCCCCTCCACCCACTTTTCTACTTCCTCCCTCTCCCCATCTGGCTGGGCTCAGGGACTCCATGGGGGGCCAGGACCTTCAGCACGCCAAGGCCCTGGTTTGCTCTGGGTGCGGAGTCAATTCTAACAGAGCTGCAACCGCCCCAGCCCCACAAGCCCTGGCTGGACTCACCCTCCTCGTGATCGAATCTCCCCAAGACAAAGTTGATCCCAATCCAGGCATAAACCCCTACGAGAGAGGCACAGACAGAGCGTTAGGCAACGCGCCGGCGCAGCCAGGACACTGGAGCCGGCTGTAGCTCTTGGAATCCGCAGAGGAGCCAGCACTCTGCTGTTCCCTTCAGTGCGTGACTCTCAAGCCTCTGGGAGCGCAGAGCCCAACGAATTCCTGAGTCTCTGCCTTAGCAGCTCTGGGGCAGATGGGGCCTCTAATGTTTTCCATGTGCAGAATACATTTTGTTCTGTGCAATGAGGCATGTGCGGATGTGCACCATCAGCAAAAAAAACACATGCTGCCACCTGGGGGCACTCTGCTAATCAGCTGGGAGGAATCTCTCTTGGGTGGCTGCTTACAGGGAACCTGGCTCCTGGGAATAGCATGGACCAAGAACCATTGTCTTCATGCTGCCTCTGCTGTTTGGGCTCCTGCAAGGTCTGCGCAGCATCTATGCCCACCCCCAGATGATCATTAGCACTGCCTGCCCCCAGAGCCATGCCTCTTCCGACATGCACCTGGGTCAATAAGGGCTGCAGTGACTCATCTCCCCCGGCTCACGACACACCTGCAGACCGAGGAGCTGGGACTATTACCTTCCTGCTTCCCTGAGATCACTTCAGCTTGCGACGCCGAGAAGAGGAAATCAAACTCCAGGGGCACATTCCTCACCAAGTCCGCCAGGATTGCAGCCTGCTGCCTGGGGAGGGCAGGGACAGCAGTGAACATCCCAGTCCCTGCAGCCTGCAAGGGCCATCCAACCCAGCAGTTGTGTGTTAGGGCTCAAGGAATCCCCCTCCACGCACCCATTCCAGTTTGCAGCTGGGGGAGTCTTGTGTTAAGACTGCCCCTGGTCACAAATCCTGCAGTGACTCCAACACTGCAGGATTCCTGGTGCCTCCCTGCCCCCGGACTGGGCTTTGCAAGCCATGCCCTCTGCTGGCAGCTGTGAAAGGAAGGTATTGAGGCCTACCCAGAATATGTCAAATGATAAGTGGAAAGGAAAGGCAGCACTCTCAGATACAGGAGATAAAAATAAAAACAAAATTTGATTGGTTGACCAACAATAACCCCGCTTTTAGGGAAGTAAGTAACTCAGACAGCAGTATGCAAGGAAGTGCTGATTACCCCAAATGGAGCAGACGAAAGTTTTTTGTAAGGGCAGAATGAGACAACAAAAATCTAACGTCAGCAATTGCCAGGTGAGTGGAGGATACCAAAATACCGATACAGGGTATATAAGGTGGCTGAAACAGACCACGAGCGGACGGGTTGCGAATCCGAAAAGCCAGGTCTGATCAACCAGGGCTCCCTCCCCGGCGCTGAATCTCGCTGCCGCACATAAGCTCCGAAAGGGGAACGAATACCGGTCGTAAGTTGCAACGAAAAATCCAAAGAAAGGAAAAACAAAGAAAAGAATCTCTCCTGAATCTAAGCAATGCTTCTATCTTTCTTAACGTGAGTATTAAGTAACTGTTAACTCCATAAATTGTTTAAAGGTAAATCAGGAGGGTATATCTGTAGGAGAAGTTATTATTTCTTGTTTTTTTACTGTACTGTTTTTCTACTTTTTCTTTGTATATTATATTGTCTTAAAAGAATCAAAAAATAATGAATTGATTTAAATAGAAAATTGATTATAAAGTAAATAGAAAAAATAAATAATTTTTTGTTTGACCCTAAAAAGAAGTATTCTTCTCTCTGTGGTTTCAAATCCTTTAAAGAACCAAACCCAGTTACCGAAAGCAACATGCTCCTGTCTCCCTTGCACCAGGCTTCGCTCAGGAACTCCCTGCCCTTTCTGGTTCTCCGAGTGCTTGGGTGCCTCTAATGCCAGTGGAACAGACACACAAGCAAGGTGCCTTGGGGGCACTCACCTCTCAGGCAGCAGCCTCATACCCGCCGTGCACAGGATGTAGAGTGGAGTCTCCTTGTGCTTTGTCACCGGCACATGAGCTGCAGCAAAGCTGAGCAGTGGGCGCATGTAGTGACTGGCTTGGTCCGGAGTGGTTGCCAGCACGGAGATCCCTGCACAGGGAAAAGGGAAACTGAGGAAGAAAGAAATGTCCCACACCCACTCCAGAGAAAGGGGCGGCCTCCAATCGCTGCTCTAGAAGCAAAGGCTCAAGGCTTGGGGGAGTCGGAGGGAGACCGTTGCCCCAGAGGGCAGAGCGAATAAGCACCAGCAGGAACGGAAAAGCCAGCGCTCAGCCTCTGCCCTTGCCTGGCCTCACGCAGGGAAGAAGGGGCACAGACCTGGCTTGATTTTCTTGACGACGGGCTGGCGGCTCTGGTCTCTCATCTGCTTGACATCCAACAGGTCATGAGGGTTCCCGTTGTGTGGAGGCCAGAAATACACAAAGACCCGGGAGCCGCTGCTCCCACAATCAACAACAATCCCATAGTTCAGTGTGGAGTCCCCTGTGTCCGTAGCTTCCAGGTCTCCCACCCGGGCCATGTACCTGGGAGAGCGGAAGAGGGATGGTCAACCCCAACAGGCAGGAGGGGCAGAGGCACAGCACCACAGCACCTTGTGCACAGCCCAGATCAGGCTAGCAAGAGCGCTGGGAGCCAGCCTGTTCCACACAGCCCTGCCCCTGTGCTAATGGGCAGTGCTCTGCTCCCAGAGGGTGACTGGGCTGGGCCTTCCACGGGGAGCAGGAGCAGGGGAAGCAAGGACTCAGTTCCACCCCAGTGACATTGGGAGGAGTCCCATGCAGTCAGGGCAGCCACGATGCTGCAGAAGTCCCATTCACAGCAGCTGTAGCTGGGCAAGCGCCCACACCCCAGCCCCCAGCAGAGGCATTGACCAGCTCTCATCTGCCCAGCACCGAGTGTCTGCACAGGCTGGAGAAAGGCCTGAGTATCAGGAGGTCAGAGAGGAGTCCCTCCCCCCCCCAGCAGATAACAGCACTGTAGGGGTCTGGCCTTGCTAATGGCAGAGTCCAGAAAGGTGAATCTAGTGACAAACCCTAGGACAGGGCTTTGCCCCTGCACAGGCCCTAGGACAGTGATGGGCCTTCTCTGCTCATTAGCCATGCTGCAGGCTCTGCTGACGCTACACAAAGCGTTTGCCTTCAGAACTCTGCTCGCCACTTCCAAAGTTGCAGGAAGGCTCCAGACGCCCCCTGGGCACCGCTGAGCTCCTCTGGACCCTCAGGGCAGGAGATCAATGGGGATGATCGATCCCTTCCCTCACAGGCCCCCCGGGGGGCTGCACATGCAGCTGAGCCGTTTGGCCGAGTCAGCACAATGCTAGCTGCCCACACGCAGAGTCAGGGCAGAACCAGGGGGCTGCAGCTTCTCCTTTCCATTAGTAGGAGCCCTAACAGAATTAGGATGCCCTGGCTCAGCACCATTACCCAGCCCAGAGCATCCGCTTCCACAAGGCTCCACTGACCCCGGGGCTGCAATACAGACAACAACCAACCTCAATTCAATTATGGAGGCACCAACGGGACTGGCCTTCCCCTCCCTGAGCCCCAGAAGCTGGTGCTGAAAGTGGAGCTGTCCAGAGCCGAGCTGGCGCCTCTCTCGCCCTGCGCTACCCGAGTAATTGTGTTATAGCCAGAGCCTTTGGCATGCTGAGCAGGGGAAAACTGCATCCCTGGAGAGGCTGTTCTGGCAGGACTCTCAGCCCCACCACACAAGCTCCCTGGAGCTCCCCCAGAGCTTATGGGCAGCAATAGCATCACCCCTCCCGAACATACCGCCTAGTCCCTCCGTTATGCAGGACAAAGTCTCCAGGAACAACAGCCAAATGGAGACACTCAACGTCCAAAGAGCAATGAAAACTAATGGGCCGAGCGTGAGTGGCCCCTCCAACCGAGGGGTGGTGGAAGGGAGTATCCTACTGGAAAAGCCAGCCAAGGCCCCAATCTTGTCACTGGCTCAGCACGGGCAGTGCCCCACCTTTCGATTCCATCTATGCAGGATTCTCCCTCAGGGGATGCGGGAACCAGGAGAGGGTTACAAGGAGAAGCAACAACCAGCAGAGGGATTTCTTTACTCAACTCAGAGAAACACAGACCCACAAAGCAGCAAGTCCCTTCTTGCAAGTGCAACATCAGACAACGCTCAGCGTGCAGGACAGACAATTGGGGACACGGCCCTATGCAAATGGATGGCACACTACCAATACAGGGCTCCCCAACAGAGCAAAGCTTTCCTTGGGGGCAGGAGAGTTCGGCCTCTCTGCCTTGGAACGCGTTCTCGAGGGGGGACAAACTGAAACAGGATTTCTTCCTGACAGCTGGTGCAAGCAGTGACACTTGGGGACATGCGTGGAGAGAACCACAGAGCAGCTTTGCACATATTTCTGATGGCGATGCCTGAGACAAGCCAATGTGGCAGCCTAGAGTAGCCTTCTAGTTTCAGGCCAGCCAGGGGACTGCTGCAATATGACATGCAGCTAGCTATCCACCGTGCTCTTGGGCATAGCCCTGTCCAGCAAACTGGTGCCTGGAGAAAGAAACTGGGTAGACAGATTTAATCCACTCCAAGTAGAGCACCAAACACCAAGAGTCTTTTAACTTTAAATTCCAGTATCGTCTTGGAGAGGAACTGTGGGTAAATGCAAAGCACTGGATGCTTGCCCACCAGAATATATGGGGGGGAGACCCTGGACTCAAGACCAGGGTCACCCAGAGAGAAGTGAACTGCGTAACATTTCTGTCGAACAGAAAGGGCTAAGTGGCTAGGAAGTCAAACACATGTGCCTGCCAGGATTATCTGCCTGATAAATCCCAGAGGCAGCAGTGTTAGTAAGAATGAAGGCAAGAGCTCAGAGTAGAGTGAAAGCATGGCACAGTGCTCCCATTTCTCTCAACAATTTACTATGAGCCATGGTCTAACCACAGAGGAGGGTGTGTTGTGTGCTAGCAGCTTCCATGCAGTCTAAAGAATTTCATTTTATTTTACTGTAAATCCCAGTTTCTGAAGCTTATTATCCCAACCTTCTCTCTCCTGAGAATGCTGAACTTGATTATACTGCCGTCAGACAGCAGTAATCAAGAAATGATTTCTCTACACCTTGTCCTTCTGAGACACGTCACTGGCTTGTATCAAGAAGTCACACAGTATTACTGTTTTCATTGGACTCTGATCCCCCCTGCTTTATGAATACAGTTTCCAGTCTCTTGAGGCTGCTAACCTTACATATAATCATATTCTTACAAGTTAGAATTTGTAGCCGTTTAGAGCCTGCTGTGGCCCCTTGCCCTCAGAAATGTTCTTGTCAAATTCTACTGAATTTTCTCTATGTCCTGGTCTGCTGCCCTGCCTTCATGGCCTGATCTGTCCTGCCTGTACAATGCGTAGCCAAGTCTCGGAGCGTCCCACGTCTGTGATGCCAGACCCAGCAAAACCATCCAACCCAGGTTCACTCACCTCTCAAACGGCCGGTCTGGGGGGGCAGAAGAGCCCCAACGGCGCAGATCTGTGGCTGCCACAAGGAGCAGCAGGCAGACTCCAAAGAGGAGTGCCAGCAGGGCCAGGCGCTGACGGGCACACGGGCTCACGGTGGGCACAGTGAGGCGCCATGAGGTTGGGCAGAGGCAGGAAAAGCTGATCCTGGAAGAGGCCAAAAGGTGCGGGGAGCAGGCAAAGTCACGTTCCGAGGCAGGGGAAGAAAGCATCGCGCTGCCCACTCCAGCCCCCGGAGCCCGCACAGGCGGCTGGGCCCGGAGAGGTGGGCTCCCCGCCACCCCCCCCAGC